TATTATTATTATTATTATTATTATTATTATTATTATTATTATTATTAATTCAACAATTGTAAACAGCTCTTGTTCCCCAACTCAATGGTCCTGGCTTTGCAGAGTGAGTGAAACTGTCTTATATTCTGAAACAAAATTCTATTTTCTGGACCTAAGTTACTGACATTTTATAGGAAGAGTTAATTCACTGAGATCTTTTCGTTGAACAGCTCTTCTTAGAAGGATAAGTTATCCGTGAATAGTATGTGCTCCAGTTATTCTTGCTTGCAGACCATATATTAAAGTACAGTTTCACAACTCAAAATTGTTTTAAAAGGAGAGGGAGCTAATGTTTTCATAGCTTTGCTTGTAACAAAACCTCACTAAAAATGAGGGTTTTGTTCATGGTCTTTTTCTCATCTATAGATAACCTATTGTACAGGGAAAGAATGAATTGTTCTTCCTAATTAGAGGTTGATTTAGTAGTCAATCAATTTGCTTGGCTGTGCTGAAATGTCATTTGCAAAGGCTTTCTTGCCAATTTCAGGAATCCCCTTCATTTTTGCTGATAGCTTCATGATCTGAATCTCTTAAAATAACTATATAGCTTTTTGAAAAAAACAAAAAAAACTTGCTTTAAAGAGGAAAATTAGATTCTCATATCTCCTTATAGTCCAAAATAAAGGACCTTCTGTTCAAAACCATTCATGCCTCATGAAAATTAATAACCAGCTTAGAAAGCACATTATTATTAGTTTGTAGTGAATCGTTTGTGTTCTTTCAGTTCCCAATTCTAGTGGGTCCCCAAATAATGCTGATCCAACTAAACGCCCGGAACAGGAAGCTGGTACCAACAGGAAAAGCTCCACAACAAGTCCCTTTGTAAAGGATCATGCAGGTAAACAGGACAACATCTAGATCCTGAAGGAGGGTCTGTTATGGGCTATCTAAATGCAATCCTATGGAGACTGGGGTTGGGGGAGAGATTATCTATGGTAGAGGAGCTACCACTTCCTAAACTCCTTAGAGCTTGCAACAGCTACAACAAGAGTGACAGAATGGCTTTTTTCCCCTTTTTTTCCTCTTCTTAAAAACATGCTTCCTCCCCCACTGATTCTGTTGGAAAGAAGTTATCTATGTCTCTTCCAAGGCTGGCATAACCCTCTCTCTCACACATACAAATTCAGAGTATGTTGGGGAATGAAAATGCTTAGCTTCAGAGCTTCCCTTATATCATTCTGGTATGTTCCTTTGTCCGTATCACCTGCATGGCCATGGAGCTTTGGCTGCTGATCAAGGGACAATCTATGCATCACATATTTTCTATCTGTTCATGGAAAAGTTTCCTGGGAACATCAGATTACACCTCAAAAGCATTAATCAAACTAAGTAAATTGAATATATAACAGCCAAAAAAAAAAAAAAAAAGAATATACCAAACCAAAAGAGGATGGAGCTTCTGCAAAAATGTAATCTCTTTCTCCTTCCTGTTTGGTTTCATATAAATTTGGTTTTGTACATAGTTGCTACTGATCTTTAGGAACAGATCTTGCTCTGAAACATTTTGCAATTATAGGAAATGGATTTTGTTAAAAAAAAAAAAGAAGGAAAAAATTGGTTGCAGTCCAGGACATAGTTAAACACCCTTAAGCCCTCTTATTTAGTATGCTTTTTATATTTATATCTTTATATGTAATCAATTACAGATTGCCATCATTGTGTCCTGGCAGTATTTCTGAAAGTTTTGTTTCCTGACCTGGTGAAACTACCAGCCTGCTGTTACCTGGAGAAACTAGCAATAGAGATAGTGTCCTGATTTCAGCTTCCCATGCAAACGTATCATTGCTGTACAAAGGTTGTCCCTATTGATATCAGCAGCTTGCTCTTCTGCTAGAGCAACTAACCACTGCTACATTCATAAAGTTTGCATGATGGTGACTCTGTGTTGCGATTTCCCATCTCCCCAAACTGATAAACGAGGTTCAAAAGCCCCCCTCCCCTCTCTGTATTGGCATGCCATGGTGGTTGGCATTTTTGCTTGGTTAATTATGTTACTAGCCATCACTTTAACATCAGCTTCTTCTCTTTACTTCACTTGAACAAGAAAGAATACACTGGAGAAAGTTAGCAGAAAGAACAGCAAACTGAGATTACTGTTCAATCATAGATACTAGTTTATTTTAAAATTCCCATTAGTTGTTTCATGGCTTCTTTTCAAATTTATTTGCCCTCATGCTTATAGATCTTTTAGTTGGTAGCTAGTAAACATCAATATTTTTATATACTAGAAATATAATTCTTTTCACCTAAATTTAACATCACAGAAATATTCCCATTGAAATGAAGCATCCAGTTGCAGCTAAATTAGTACTGATTTTTCCAGTGAGAGAGCATTTGATTTAATTAATAAAACTTAAATATACTTGCAATAAGGACTGCTGCTTACATTATGCTTGCTTCTGTTTTTTTTTTTAAATTTGGCAACTTTTGAGGTGTGGACTTCAGGTCCCATAATTATCCAGCCAGCATGGCCTGGGAAATTTCCAGGAGTTGAAGTCCAGACATTTTAAAGTTGCCAAGTTTGAAAAATACTACACTAGAAGGTTCCAGTGGGCCATCATGCCCCTCTACAAAATACAATTTTCTGTCTATCAGTTGAATAACATTGGGTTTGGAAAGCTATTAAAATCAGTTCCAAGACTTGGGTTTGAATAGAGTCCCAACACTGATAAGAAGCTATCAGTTCCTTCAGTCAGTATTAGAACAGTAACACCGAAGCCTATAGATAGCTATTCCACTCATCAGTGTTTTCATTTTGTTTTAAATACTGGGCTACATAATAAAGATGCATATGCAGAAAGAAAAAGGCACACAGTACTATAGTTTAATACAAATTGGTGTTTGTAAAAGATAGTGACCGATGAGTCTTGAGAATTCCTGTTTCTCTATTTTATTCTACTAGCTGCCTTAAGCTGGCCAATGTCTGGGGAGACATGACATGCATCAAAGGCTGTTTTATCAGTGCTGTCCTTCTATGCTGATGGGTGAAGATAGATATAAAGTGTAATTTGGGAGCAACATGATAGGAGAACAACAGTCAGAATGTCTTTTTGTGATGTGAATGACTGGTTGCATCTAGCTACTCAGGTTTTCAGAAGACAATTAAATATGGCTACAAAGTGGTGATGGACAGTGATTGTTTTGAACTTAGATTTCTCCCTTCTCTTTCTCTCTTTCTCTCCCTGTCTCCCTCCAACCTTATTCCTAGGTCCCAACTCAGATGGGAGCAAAGCTGGACATTCCAGTATCCTTGGTTCAGAGGTGGCCTTATTTGCAGGGATAGCTTCAGGGTCCATCATATTCCTCCTCATCATCATCACACTGGTGGTTCTTTTGTTGAAGTATCGAAGGAGACACAGGAAGCATTCGCCTCAGCACACGACAACTTTGTCACTTAGTACATTAGCAACCCCAAAACGCAGTGGGAACAACAACGGGTCTGAACCCAGTGACATTATCATCCCTCTGAGGACTGCAGATAGTGTTTTTTGCCCTCACTATGAGAAAGTCAGTGGTGACTATGGACATCCTGTGTACATAGTTCAAGAGATGCCCCCTCAAAGCCCGGCAAATATTTATTACAAGGTCTGATGAACACTCAGTGTGGTACCTGTTTTAAAACTCTCTCTCTGTCTGGTCAAATGCTATCCATGACACAGAGGTTGGGGATTGTGATGAGCCACTGTGTGGGTTCCTGGACCAGATGCAGAGGAGGGAACAGCAAGCTCCACCCTGTTACAGAGAGCTGCTTTGAGGGGGCAGCTTTCGAGTCTGTAGAATTCCTGTCTTGGTGAACAAGCATTTACTTGGAAGCTGGAAGAAGTTACATAGAAGATTCCCATAGCAATTGCAGTTTGTTCATCACCTTCTAAGCCATGTGCTGTAGGCATTCAGGCACGTACAAAAACCCCCTAGGGAAGATGGAGCAACTCGCAGATACTAATGGTTGTTTTAGGCATTCTAGGAAGAGAGTCTTAAGTCGTCAAGCTTGAAATGCAGCCCTGTGACTTTGTGTGTGCTTCTCTTGGTGCTCATGGATTTGTCTTACAGACCTCTGCTTTTAAGTAAGATTTTAAACTTTTTTGTTTGTTTTAGTCGGTCCCTGTGGCATTTTTTTACTTCAACCAAACGGCATTCTGTCATCCTTCATATGAAAATTTATGCACTCCATATCATGCATTGCTTTTGGAAAAGTGATTTTTCTAAAAAAAAAAAAAATATTTTTTTACCATCCCATATTCCACCTATTTGTGAAAGCAGCCTTACTTGAATGGATAATGCTTTGGGAGAGACTTTGGGCTTGCTGAAAGGAGAATCTTCCACTCAAAAGCTAGCTTGTCGGCCGAATCCACAATAGAAGTGACTTGTGGCAGAAGAGAGAGGGAAGGGCTGAAAGAATGCTACGGTCTCTGGAATATCAACCAGACAAAGGTAGACAATTTAAATAGCACAGCACTTTGATATCCGGAGTTCAATGAAGAGTGTTAACACACAGCAATAGGAGCAGCTGATTAGGGTCTGTACTTGAAGGATGCCAAGGTTTTCTCAAATAGCATCTTGCAGGAGGAAATACTTCTCCCACAAAGTAGCGCAAGAAAATTAATGTGCCTGGAAGACAAGACAATAGAAGGCTGCTGGTGATATATTAGGGCACGACTGCTGTGGTACTTTACCAGCAATAAGATGTACAGCTTTGAACTAGCTGTAGCAAAATCTTGGTCTGCTTCAAATGATTTTTTTTAAAGCAGACACAGCTGCTATTACTTACCATATTTTATCTAAACATAGGGAAAAAGAAAACAGCAACATCTGACATAGACAAATCACAAGCTTAATGGTCAAGAGGGCTATAATTCCATCACTCAAAACAAAGCATTCACATCTATATAAAATTGGTCAGGGTTGTATTTTTCCTTCAATCAAACCTTTTGACATTCTGATTTCTGGCAGTGCATTTTGAGTTAGTCATGTACTGCCATTCATGGGATTTTTCTCTTTCTGAAATAAAGCACATATGGTAAACCACCACATAAAGATGCAACGCATTCAGCTACAAGAAGGGGAGGTATAATGTGACTTATTTATAATAAGTGTATAGAACCCAAGGGATGTATGGTAGCAGATTTTGTTCAGATTACTAATATATCTATATATTGAAATTGCACAGAATCCTTACAGAAGATGTGAAATTCCTCTATGACCATGAAATCAATTTGGCTATTTCTGGGGAAAACTAGATCTTTAACTCCAAAAAGAACAATATTGAGAAGAAATGTAAAAATAACCAAACCCTCTTAGCTGTCTTACATAACCAGTAGACTAGGAAACAAAGCCCCTGAATCTTGAGAGAGAAGTGTATAACTACACAATGTATTTTAACAAGATATTCTGATATGGCTTTCCTTTTATTTTTTTTGTGCTGTGTTTTCCCGCCTTGCCTTATGAGATGGAGTATTTTTTGAGCTGGATACCAATAGGAAAGTTTACTATAAAGTTCCTGCTTTGAAGCGTAGTTGTTGTTCTCCAACCTCTGCACCCTGGGGGACATAAATCTACTTTTTTTTATGTGCTATGCAAAATAGATGTCTTATCACATAATTCTGTTACCATAGCAACACTTCACTTTCTGGACTCGAAAGAAGTTGTAGCTACAGCATTTTAAGGTTCTCAACTTCCACAGAGCACATGCAAAAAAAGAAAGAAAGAAAGAAAAAGAAAAATCACCACACCACACTTCACCACAGAATCCTGTCATAGAAATGATTACTTTTGGTATTTCCTGAACCTGAAAATGACGTTGGTTCATGAAGGGAGAGATGGAGGGGGGGGGGGGAGGAAAGCGAGAAGTAACATGGTTCTGTGGGAGGTTACTATGGTAACTAGCTGCAGCACAGAAGCAGTCCTTTCCTAAAGCTTTTCTCTCTATGAACCCATCCATGCAAGGTTTTTCTTGTAAGTCCTTAGGATTTGGAGGGGAAGTGGAAAAATAGATGGGGTAGTTTTAAAAAAACAAAACCTGAAAGAGGTTGTTTAGCCAGTTAGTTCCCTTCTTATAATGTACTAAACATGGGGAGGGGAGATTATTGAATAAATCTATAAAGAAGAGCAACCTGCAACCCAGGAGGGGGGGGTTGGGAGAAAGGAGCCCTGTGTACCTGTGTTGTGTCTTGTGCAGAATAATGACAATCTTGCCAACTGTTCCTTGAGGTTGGTGTTTGGTTCAGCTTTGAAAAGTTACTGTAAATGCCTTGCTTGTGTTAGCCCTAACTTTTTGAAAATTTACATCATCATGTTTTAAGAGTGAAGATGCTGTAAATAAGTTGAGATTGACTGTATATGGATTTGGGGTGTTACAGTAGCCTTATTCACCTTTTTAAATAAAGATTCAATTAAAAAAATACACATGGAACCGAGAATAAACATCTTTTCTTAACCAGACTGTGTATATAAAGCAACACTGGTTTTTTATAAAGTCTAAACAAGATGTTTTGTATAAAATCTGACTTTTGCTATGTATTTAGCTACAGCTTGTTTAAAGGCCGTGTCATTCCCCTTTGCGCAGTTTCCAGGATAAAGAGATAAGATTTAAAAAGGTTGCCAAATTGCTGCATATTTGTGCTGTAACTGTGTACCATGAATATTTATTTAAAAATTCCTTTGTCCAGTTTGTAAGTAACACAGTATTATGCTTGAGTTATAAATATTTTTTCTTTAAAAAAAAAAAAAAAACTAGACTGTCTTAGTTTTGAAATCTGCTTTGTTCTATGTTGCAGTTAGCCCCTTTGAGAAATTGAAATCTATGAAAATTCACATTCCACATCTGTTTCAAACTGAATTTGTTCTTTAAAAAAAATAAAAATATTTTTTCCTATGGAAATAATGGTTTCAATAGCTTTTTATGGAGGGTGGAAAATGTTCTTTCAAGCTTTCACCTTCTTTTCCAAGTTAAAATTTTAATGTAATTTTGAGGGGCGTGAAGAACTCCCCGAGATCCTTTTCTGCCTGAGAAAAGTTTTGCTTTCATTCACCCAAGAATGTCAAGTGTGTCTTGTTAAGAACTTGAAAGAGTCTAGTTCCTACTTGCATATGCATTATATCTAGAGACCTAACCTTAATACTAAAATTGTTTGTGAGCAACGAATTGATTCATGATATCCCTTTATGGGTTATATACAGGAACTGGGTGAATAAAATTTATTTAGACTTAGAATAACTTTATTGTCACTTTGAATGTACACTAATCGGTATACATTAGAATAAAATTTCATTGCATACAGTTCTCAAAAGGTCTCCACCTCTAATATACACTACATAAACATGAATAAATAAATAAATAAATAAAAATTATGCATATACCCACATATATGACATAGAGAAACAGCACAGTTTAGTTTGGATGTATACTTTTTCCCAATTTTCAAAAGAGTGTCTATCCCAATTACTAGGTTTTTGTTATTACTTCAATTGTGGAGCAGGAAAAAGAGAAAATGTGTTTGTGTCTTATTCCTGAGCAATCACGTTTTTTGCCTACATTGAAATTATTTGAAGACTGGAATCTAGATTCAATCTCACATTTCTAATGCAGGAGCCATTACAAAATGGCATGATTTAGAAAGCTAGGATACCCCTTGAAGACAATCATAAGGATACTGGGATAAAAAACATAGTGTGGTAGTGGTCCTTGGTGTACTCTGAGCTTGGTTCTTTTATGCAGACATTTTGTTACCCAAACTAGGTAACATTATCAGTGCTGTTAGCTAGTTTGGGTAATGTCTGCAAGGAAAAAAATCCAAGCTCAGAAAGCACCAAGGACCCCTCATTTCAACCTTGAGGTACAAACATTTTCCTTTATAAATGTAGTTCTTTGTACCTGTTTTCCAGCAAGATTTATAATGTTAACGTCTGCAAATGAAGAAGCACTGAGTTCATATTTACATTTTAGTACAGATAGTTTTCAATATCTATAACCATTTGTTTACTAACTGTTGGAAGTTGCAACAACACTGAAAACAGACAACTGATCCTTGCACTTATGACCATTGCAGCAACCCCATAGTCACATGATAAAAATTTAGGCCCTTGGCAATATATTTACAATGGTTGCAGTGTCCCAGGGTCATCTAATTGTTATTTGCAACCTTTTTAATCGGCTTCTAACAAACAAATTCAATGGAGAAATGGGATTAACAACTACAGCTTCACATCCATGGCAAAAAAGTTGTAATATTGAGCATGAGTCACTTAACAACTGTGTGGGTTAACAGTGGATAATGCTGGTTCCAGTTGTCATAAGTTGATGACTGCCTACATACTGATGTGATTTTTGATGGGCACTTAACTTGCTATTCTCCAGTCCTGTCTCTGATACAATGGACAGTAAAATTAATGCAAAACAAGTCTTCATTGCATCAGATTTCCCACACACAAATGCATAATTTTTGTTTGAAGGAAAGCAAGAGGGGAGAGAATAGAATAACAAAAGAGCCACAAACATTCTTGCATTCAGAATATGAGTGTATATTATGAGATCAGAAATGTCGGTCTTTGATGAATCCATGAAGAATTGCATGAAATCTTTTAATAATTTCTGATGCTACTATTTCATCTTGAAAACAGTCTTTGCATACATCTTCTCAATTATTCTTGAGGTCAACATAGAATGTCTTGAAGGAGTGAAATGTACTGTCACTAGTTTTCAATATGGCCATTTAGGCTTATATATTTTTCTGATTCATTTTTTATTACTGCCTAAATTGCCCTAAATGGCAAGACATTTTTGAATAATGGTAGCATATGGGACAACAAAGTGGATTAAGTTCCCCAGTTGTTGTAGTTGCAACTATTAGGCTATGTAATAATATTAATGAAGATGGGAACAAAGTTGGCATTTAAGTTGCAGGTTTAGTTCTGGTGTCCATGTTGCCTTGGGCAAAGTGGTTGTTTGCAAGCCAGTTTGCCCCCCCCCCAAAAGCCTCATTTTTCTGGATGAATGATACTTATAGTAGATGACTCTTTGTTGCCACTTAGAGATTGTCCAGGTTTTTTTCAGCCCAGAATTGGTAGATCATTGATGTTTGATTGGCTTTACATGGGGATGGATGATCACAAATGGTGTTCATTTCTTCTTTAACCTTGGAATAATTTATTCCTAGTATTTGTCAATCTGTTAATTCATTGGGCAGGTATTATAATGTGGAAAACACCTTATTTACATTTCTTGGTTGATGGAAGATGGAAAAAACTTACATTCTTGCAGCAACTCAGTATGATTGCAAGAAGCTCTACTTTCTGAGGCCGTATCCAGCCTGGATCACCAAGAGTTAAATGCTTGGGGAAAAAGGCCTTACTAAGTAAATAGAAATGTTTTGCGTATTTCGTAGATATTATATTCTTTATATTCACTTTAAGAATTTTCTGTACTAGAATATGAGTCCTACTCCAATATTTCTTTGTTTTATTACACGTCCACCACAAATAAGTCTCTTCTTTACATTTGCATTTCCAACATTCATTTGAAGTTGATACATTCAATAAAAGTTTTACAGAAGGAAAGAAAATAGATCCACAAAGCCTAGCAAATCCCCATCCAAATATTTAAAACTGGTATGCAAATACTGTTTCATCTACTTTTATTAACTTCTAATAAACATCAAATCATTCTGCATAGTGAGATGGCCAGCATATAAATTAGATAGATAGATAGATAGATAGATAGATAGATAGATAGATAGATAGATAGATAGATAGATAGATAGATATTGCAATTATGGTTTTAAAGCAATTGCTTATCATACTAAATACTGTTGTTGATACTTTCTCTGGCACATGAGCAGCCATATAAATTGAACAAGATAAATAAATTCACAACCTTTGGTAAATAATACTTTTCACCATATTTGTTTTGTCAGTTCCTGCCCTTCACATGGTAACCATTACATGCTGGTATACATTTTATGTTCATTTCCAAGCAAACTGTTTCATTGGGATGCATTGGTACTTCATTAATATTTTACAATAATACTTGATGACAGTATCAGAAATAAAGGGACAAACTGAATTTTTAGTGTTCCATCATCATGACACTGGGTGAATGGTTATTAAACACTTGCCTCTAAATTATCTAAAGGCCCTGTGTTTAGCTAAGCAAAATTGCTGCTTTTTTGCCGATGAAGGTTTTTGTAGCCATTATTTTCCTCTGCTTTTAAGTCTGATCTTGCAATTATCTTGTATATTATTTTGGAATCAGATTGTTAGTATTTCTTGAGTCAAGAGTTGAGGAAGAATCTTTTAATCAAGAGTTCTATGGATATTCTGGAATTCTTCTCTTCTCACCAATTAATGTGTCCTCTTAAAGAATATCTTTGAAATATTTGTACCCATGATTGCCAGTGTAATTCTAGACATGTTGTATGAAGAAGTTGGTAACTAGCTTAGTCTATGTTCCATCCATGCCACTCTGTTATTTTACAGGTAAGTGCAGGTTTAATTACGTGGGAGTCGGTCTAATACTTTATATGGACAATGAATGGCCCTTATTTCCTTATGTCTATATTTAGGGATTTTTTTCCTGTGACACACTGATATAATTTCTTATCTGCTCTGAGACAACATGCAAACCCAATGCAATCATTTCCAAATATGAACTCTGAAGCAGGCACACATGACCAACCAATGGGTGTTGAGTAAGGAAATGACATTGCTTCTCCGACTGCTTGGCTAATGCGTTTCCAAGAGATTTTTATCTGTGATGAGTTAACCTCACATATACTGATGAGAGCTTGCTGAATCTTCGGTGATGTTCAGAAACCTTATGACTGTTGCATAATATGGTAATGTGGTGACCACTAGCATGGAAAATGTGTCAGTGATACTCTATCATATTACCTAGAAGCGGCAGAAATTGGTTTCACTGGAAATGACAGAGAACATCTCCATCTATGACAAAAATAGCTCTTAATTTCAATTCACTGCCAAAAATATAGAGACAGTAATTCTACGTTACTCCCTGTTAGGTTTCAGATATAAGGATCTTTAAACAAAGGAGATACTCTTGTGTGACTGATGTTTGAATTCTTTTTTTAATCACAAAAGGATGGCAGGACTCATATAAATGATCATATGAATTATCACTTTTTTGTATGTATGAGCATTTTAATTCAATCAGCTTTATGTAATGATACATCAGGTACACTGATCTTGTGATAATCACAGCTATTGTAGCGATTGCACATAAAAGTAGATTTTAAGTGCTGCTATAGGTTTCTTCTGCGTTGTTTGATTCTGAAGCATTTTTCCCCCAGACATTTAAAGGCTTCTTTCCACAACATTGTCTTTCAGATAAGAATTTATTTTTAGCTTCTGTTAGTGTACCTGACTCTTTGGAGATGATTAAAATTACAGTTCTATATTGCCTACTCAGAAATAAGTTCCTCTTTAAAATATAAAAATAATTTTTTTTAAAAAAATAAAGAAATAAGTCCCTCTATGTCGATTTGATTATTAGATATTATTAGACTTCCTCATCTAGAGTATTCGTTCATTTAATATACACTGCTCAAAAAAATAAAGGGAACACAAAAATAAGACATCCTAGATCTGAATGAATGAAATATTCTTATTAAATACTTTGTTCATTACATAGTTGAATGGGCTGACAACAAAATCACACAAAAATTATCAATGGAAATCAAATTCAGCAACCCATGGAGGTCTGGATTTGGGGTTAAACTCAAAATTAAAGTGGAAAAAAAA